CTGTGATATTTCTTAATTGTTCATCTGTAACTGTTTTCTCTATTTAAAAGTTAGATTATATATTTTTGCCTTACCTTTTGTCATTTACAGCATGATTCCTGGTTTTTTTTTGGAACAGAGACCTCATCAGACTTTGGTCGCAGTAGTTTGGCCGCACGAGCAGACCGCCTGGCTTTTTCCTCTGGATCAGTGTATGGATCATTTACTACTAAATTGTACTTTTTCATGGTAAGTCTTGTATATTTAGGTGTGTCATAGTCACTTTTCACTGGCAATAGTTTAGTCCTTTTTTTGTTATGAGGTATACTTCCAGCCTTAAATTTAAATATATTTCCTTTTTTGAACCCAGACATATTGGAATTGTACAGTTTTCACTTTAATTGTTTAGTGTTTGTAAAGTTTTTATATACCCTTGTAAAGTAGGACAGTATTTTATCTTTTTGTAATCCAAGTTGAATGGAAAGTTCATTCAGTAATTAAAAATATTTGAGATTGAGCACATGCCTCCCTCAGAATTTGACAAATTCTCTGAACAGGCCATATGATAAACTTTGGATTTTTTTATAACCATTATGAAGACAACCACTTTTAATTGCTATCATTCCTGTATCTCTTATCTTCAGTAATAAAAATATAAATGATAAAGATCCAGAGTGCATCTTCAGTACACTTTATTTTCAAAAATATATGACAAAAAGTCCAAAATTTTGCTAATTTTGACAACTTTAAGAAAAGTAAGGGTAGAATCCACCCTGAATGAACATTTGATTCAACTTGTACATGCATAAAGAGAAATGTTAATTTTATAAACAAAAACACTAAACAAATGAACTTTTAATGTTATTTAATGGTAATTTTTTTATTTTCATGACAGCATTCTTGAAATCTGTAGATGAAATTCCTCTGTGGCCGCAATGCACGGGTTGCTCTTTCATATGGTAGTTTCTCTTAAGTAACTCAACCAATTTCTTCCACACTTGGTATTTCTTCCTTATATAAGTTCTGTGTTAAACAGATACATTTTTGTCCTGATTCGAGTCAATTTTATTCTTTCTATAGGTTACAAGAGCGCAATTATTTGTTTACATTCAACCGGCAAAATTTTTACCCCAAGATGGTACTCAGAATAAAAAACTTTGAGGCTCCTGATTGGATGATGCAGGTTGGAATTATTTTTTATTTGAAAGCTTATCCATTAAGTTTGGAAATAGGTGAAAATTAAATTCACAATTCACAATGTGTAGAAGATATATTTTTTTTATTAACTGAGGAGCCATTCAAAATTAACCTTTCCAATTTAGTGCAGAATTTGGAAGCTTCCATAACAACTGCATTTTAGGGCACTTTTTGCCGCATGACCATATACTTTTTTTTTTTGCTGTAATAAAAGGCTGACATCTCTAGTCACAGGAACTGCTACCCATTTTTATCTAGTTTGTTTATTCTTCAAGAAATAAATTTTTGAATACCACTGGGGTCCTATGAAAAATGCATTACAAATAATTGCGCTCTTGTAACCTATAAGTTTTGCCTAAATTGCGCACATGCTAAAACATTAAAACTGATTTCAAGGTAAAGCCATACTTGAAGAAATGTTTGTCAAGACAACAAATATCTGTAATATCCTGGATGCCAAGCGAAATATAACCTTTAGAGATTGAAAAGGGTAGATTTCGAAATGTGCCACTTGATCAACGCCTATGTAAATGTGCAAGTCTCAATCCAAAGAGGACAACACCCATTTTACGCTGTACTGTAAATGCAACGAACCATTGAGAACACCACTATTCAACGACATCCGAGACAATTACAACATAGATTTAAATACACTACCAATAAACATCAGATTAACACATATATTTTGTAATTACAGCAAGCTTGTTTCTAGCTTTATTTTGAACTGTTATACTATCAGACAGTCTGTGGTCAATTGATTACGTGCCTTACTATATTTTCGTTTAAATCAGGACTTTTTTCTTTTTTCTTTTCAATAATAAAAACATAATGCGTATCACATCATAACAGTGCATCTTAGGTCTATTTGGCTGACTGAAAGTCATTTGTATATTTGAACATGACTGGTTGTTATAATTCAGGCTGCACTTAAATATTAAAATATTCATTTATTCATTTATTCATTCATTCATTTATATGCATCTTTTACTTGTGTCTTATCCTTTGTTCCTGTCTCTTGTATATTAAACTGTATCACAGATATTAGGTTTTTTTTTCTAATGGCTAAAACACATACTGATAAAGGTATTGAATATGCATTTGTTGTCAATTACTGAGAAATTCTTCAAGATTACGGCAATTTGATATGTATTATGCCTCTGCATATTGGTGTCAGAAAGTACATGTTAAAATCTACTATTCCCAGTTTGATTGCCTGTTTCGTAGGGACGTCTTTGATTAGAAAGTGCTGTTGTTTTCCTGCAGAACAAGTTCGACAAATCTTGTCTAAAATTTTTGTTCAAAAATGTGTATATGATTGGATTCACGCAGCAATTACTATACCCGACTAACTTTAGAGCAGTTAACTTAACACGATAAGATTTATCTATGGCAACATATTCCGAATACAACGCAAAGGTGAAAAACGGAAACCATAGCAAAGTGAAAGATAAGAACAGTAGCATCAACATTCGAATAATCCGTTTCTTTTGCTTGATGATGTGACCATGGTTTCTTGGATTGGCCAGGATATCTCCGATGGGCTGATGAATCCAGAGCCGATGACCTATTCTACCGTACGTAAACGCCATGATGACAACAGGTATAAGATAGCAACCAATGTATTGGATCAGTGAATAAAGCCGCTGTGCGTTGATTACAGGGTATGATGGGAACTCTTCGACACATATATATCTAATACCGTCAAAAAATATTAAACCATTTATAGTTGAAATTTTTAGCCTGATTTGGAGTTTTTGGTATAAAAGATGTGGTATGACTATCAACATAGATACAATCCAAACCGCGATTACGGCGATAATAGCGGTTTTCTGTCTATGTCTCTGTTGAGAAATTTTTGCTCGGCAAATGACGAAATACCTACAAAATGACATGAAAGTGATTAAATGCGATACTGATCAGTTTATATATTAACTCTCACTGCCACTATTTCTTGAAAAAATACTTGTTTCATACCTTTTTGCATATGACCAGTATCATGCCCTGACATATGGTATAATTTTACTTGCAAAAGACATTAACATAAAACATTGGACTTCAACACTTTCAATAATTGTAAATTTTCTACAACAGTCCATATACCAATTTCTGAACAAACGTTACGTTTTTCAAATTGTCATCTTGTGTCTTACTTAATATTTGAAATTATGGAATGGTTTTCATATTTTACTTTTGTATGCAACGATATCTCATACGAGTTATAAAATGTAACACTGTATAAATCTTCAAATAATACTTTAGAGTTCTGCGTAACCAGCCAGGTGACAGATAAATAATCTTATTATAGAATGATTTTACGGCGTATACACTGTAATTTTTATAACTTTTGACACAAACATAACACAAAGGTTAAAACTAAATCAAATCTTGAGAAAAATAAAGACGTCCCTTGTTGCGGCACTTATGATTAAACTAACGCTTTGGTAAACATATGAAAACTTGAAGCACAGTCATACTCAGTGATACTATCAATTTTACGATTTTTATTTGGGAAGACATGAAACGCAGAGTTAAATAATTTCAAAATCATGATTTGTGACAAATTCTCTGAACAGGCCATATGATAAACTTTGGATTTTTTTATAACCATTATGAAGACAACCACTTTTAATTGCTATCATTCCTGTATCTCTTATCTTCAGTAATAAAAATATAAATGATAAAGATCCAGAGTGCATCTTCAGTACACTTTATTTTCAAAAATATATGACAAAAAGTCCAAAATTTTGCTAATTTTGACAACTTTAAGAAAAGTAAGGGTAGAATCCACCCTGAATGAACATTTGATTCAACTTGTACATGCATAAAGAGAAATGTTAATTTTATAAACAAAAACACTAAACAAATGAACTTTTAATGTTATTTAATGGTAATTTTTTTATTTTCATGACAGCATTCTTGAAATCTGTAGATGAAATTCCTCTGTGGCCGCAATGCACGGGTTGCTCTTTCATATGGTAGTTTCTCTTAAGTAACTCAACCAATTTCTTCCACACTTGGTATTTCTTCCTTATATAAGTTCTGTGTTAAACAGATACATTTTTGTCCTGATTCGAGTCAATTTTATTCTTTCTATAGGTTACAAGAGCGCAATTATTTGTTTACATTCAACCGGCAAAATTTTTACCCCAAGATGGTACTCAGAATAAAAAACTTTGAGGCTCCTGATTGGATGATGCAGGTTGGAATTATTTTTTATTTGAAAGCTTATCCATTAAGTTTGGAAATAGGTGAAAATTAAATTCACAATTCACAATGTGTAGAAGATATATTTTTTTTATTAACTGAGGAGCCATTCAAAATTAACCTTTCCAATTTAGTGCAGAATTTGGAAGCTTCCATAACAACTGCATTTTAGGGCACTTTTTGCCGCATGACCATATACTTTTTTTTTTGCTGTAATAAAAGGCTGACATCTCTAGTCACAGGAACTGCTACCCATTTTTATCTAGTTTGTTTATTCTTCAAGAAATAAATTTTTGAATACCACTGGGGTCCTATGAAAAATGCATTACAAATAATTGCGCTCTTGTAACCTATAAGTTTTGCCTAAATTGCGCACATGCTAAAACATTAAAACTGATTTCAAGGTAAAGCCATACTTGAAGAAATGTTTGTCAAGACAACAAATATCTGTAATATCCTGGATGCCAAGCGAAATATAACCTTTAGAGATTGAAAAGGGTAGATTTCGAAATGTGCCACTTGATCAACGCCTATGTAAATGTGCAAGTCTCAATCCAAAGAGGACAACACCCATTTTACGCTGTACTGTAAATGCAACGAACCATTGAGAACACCACTATTCAACGACATCCGAGACAATTACAACATAGATTTAAATACACTACCAATAAACATCAGATTAACACATATATTTTGTAATTACAGCAAGCTTGTTTCTAGCTTTATTTTGAACTGTTATACTATCAGACAGTCTGTGGTCAATTGATTACGTGCCTTACTATATTTTCGTTTAAATCAGGACTTTTTTCTTTTTTCTTTTCAATAATAAAAACATAATGCGTATCACATCATAACAGTGCATCTTAGGTCTATTTGGCTGACTGAAAGTCATTTGTATATTTGAACATGACTGGTTGTTATAATTCAGGCTGCACTTAAATATTAAAATATTCATTTATTCATTTATTCATTCATTCATTTATATGCATCTTTTACTTGTGTCTTATCCTTTGTTCCTGTCTCTTGTATATTAAACTGTATCACAGATATTAGGTTTTTTTTTCTAATGGCTAAAACACATACTGATAAAGGTATTGAATATGCATTTGTTGTCAATTACTGAGAAATTCTTCAAGATTACGGCAATTTGATATGTATTATGCCTCTGCATATTGGTGTCAGAAAGTACATGTTAAAATCTACTATTCCCAGTTTGATTGCCTGTTTCGTAGGGACGTCTTTGATTAGAAAGTGCTGTTGTTTTCCTGCAGAACAAGTTCGACAAATCTTGTCTAAAATTTTTGTTCAAAAATGTGTATATGATTGGATTCACGCAGCAATTACTATACCCGACTAACTTTAGAGCAGTTAACTTAACACGATAAGATTTATCTATGGCAACATATTCCGAATACAACGCAAAGGTGAAAAACGGAAACCATAGCAAAGTGAAAGATAAGAACAGTAGCATCAACATTCGAATAATCCGTTTCTTTTGCTTGATGATGTGACCATGGTTTCTTGGATTGGCCAGGATATCTCCGATGGGCTGATGAATCCAGAGCCGATGACCTATTCTACCGTACGTAAACGCCATGATGACAACAGGTATAAGATAGCAACCAATGTATTGGATCAGTGAATAAAGCCGCTGTGCGTTGATTACAGGGTATGATGGGAACTCTTCGACACATATATATCTAATACCGTCAAAAAATAGTAAACCATTTATAGTTGAAATTTTTAGCCTGATTTGGAGTTTTTGGTATAAAAGATGTGGTATGACTATCAACATAGATACAATCCAAACCGCGATTACGGCGATAATAGCGGTTTTCTGTCTATGTCTCTGTTGAGAAATTTTTGCTCGGCAAATGACGAAATACCTACAAAATGACATGAAAGTGATTAAATGCGATACTGATCAGTTTATATATTAACTCTCACTGCCACTATTTCTTGAAAAAATACTTGTTTCATACCTTTTTGCATATGACCAGTATCATGCCCTGACATATGGTATAATTTTACTTGCAAAAGACATTAACATAAAACATTGGACTTCAACACTTTCAATAATTGTAAATTTTCTACAACAGTCCATATACCAATTTCTGAACAAACGTTACGTTTTTCAAATTGTCATCTTGTGTCTTACTTAATATTTGAAATTATGGAATGGTTTTCATATTTTACTTTTGTATGCAACGATATCTCATACGAGTTATAAAATGTAACACTGTATAAATCTTCAAATAATACTTTAGAGTTCTGCGTAACCAGCCAGGTGACAGATAAATAATCTTATTATAGAATGATTTTACGGCGTATAAACTGTAATTTTTATAACTTTTGACACAAACATAACACAAAGGTTAAAACTAAATCAAATCTTGAGAAAAATAAAGACGTCCCTTGTTGCGGCACTTATGATTAAACTAACGCTTTGGTAAACATATGAAAACTTGAAGCACAGTCATACTCAGTGATACTATCAATTTTACGATTTTTATTTGGGAAGACATGAAACGCAGAGTTAAATAATTTCAAAATCATGATTTGTGAACTATACTGATTATTTTTTGAAAAACAATATCTAAAGTAGATATATTGAGGACGAACTAAAATGTTAGATAACTATCTTTCTGTTCTTTATCTTAAACATTGAATCGTCATATATGGAGACAAAATTTCCTGGAGGTTAACACGACTTCATATCTTTAGAAGTAAGATTGTCATCAGAACTAATAGGAATTATTTGCTGTGGTGACTTACCTGTCTACTGCAATGGCCAGTAAAGTGAAGATGCTTGAAATAATAGTACATCCTTGTATATAATTAGTAAACTTGCACAATGCTTCGCCTGTCTTTCCACCCGTCATCCATTCATTTACCACGGTAAAGTAAAGCTGAAATGGCATATTTAATGTAGCTATAAGTAAATCGTTTATGGCAAGTGACATTATGTAAATGTCAGTCACTGTTTTCAATTTTCGGGCTTTGACAGAAATGGCGATAACCAAGCCGTTTCCAACAACCGAAAAGAAAATTATCATAACAAACAGAACAAAAAAGATGTCAGTCAGATATTTTGGATGTGGCTCCGGAAGTAAACGGTCTGCAGGAATGACGAAACTAACAACCTTTTGCTGTGCACCGGTCGTAGTTCTGTGACCAACTAAACTTGTTGAAGTATTATCATGTCGCAGAGTTGATAATGTAGTATGTGAAATGGTTGGAGTAACTTGTGAAAAATAAGACAGCATCTTAATGTTTTCAAACTTGGATATCCAGTATACACTGCTATCCAAATGAAAACCAAAAGATCAACTCAAAGCAGCTTAGCTTATGAGTCAGTTTGGCATGGGTTAACAAGTTTCATTTTATCAAAATAACAACAACATATTGAAAATCCACACTTTAATTAATAAAATATAATTATTGGGTTCTTATGCGACCAATAAAATAAATCCGTCGTTTTTATATTCGCTAATTGTTTAAGTCAATATAATCAAGATTCGACGGTAATATAAAGTTTTGTATCAGCTAATTTCTAGGTGTTTCTCAATTCATCCCAGATGGCTTGTATCAATTCGAGTGTTGTTTTTCAATAATATGTGAAGTGAATGGGCGTACTATAAATTAATTCAAGAGGGATACATATATAAGAAAATTTTAAAGTTTATGCGCGTCTCAATTTCTTCAGCTCATAATGTTTGTTTTTAATGGCAAGATTACACTTTATTTTTGGGGTAAATTTCGTACACATTAGGCCTAAGTTCTCTGTCCGGAATAACAACGATTTTTTTTAAAGGAAGAATATTTTATAATCGAATTGTAACAGTTTTCTTCTCTTTTCCGCCAATATCTTAGAATCATACGTTGAAAATTTTAAAGTTTATGCGCGTCTCAATTTCTTCAGCTCATAATGTTTGTTTTTAATGGCAAGATTACACTTTATTTTTGGGGTAAATTTCGTACACATTAGGCCTAAGTTCTCAGTCCGGAAAAACAACGATTTTTTTTATTAAAGGAAGAATATTTTATAATCGAATTGATACAGTTTTGTTCTCTTTTCCGCCAATATCTTAAAATCATACGTTGAAAATTTTAAAGTTTATGCGCGTTTCAATTTCTTCAGCTCATAATGTTTGTTTTTAATGACAAGATTACACTTTATTTTTTGGGGGAAATTTCGTACACATTAGGCCTAAGTTCTCAGTCCGGAAAAACAACGATTCTTTTTAAAAGGTGGAATATTTTATAATCGAATTGTATCAGTTTTCTTCTCTTTTCCGCCAATATCTTAGAATCATACGTTGAACATTTAAAAGTTTATGCGCGTTTTAATTTCTTCAGCTCATCTGCTTTTTTTTTCATGGCAAGGTTACACTTTATATTTTGGGTTAATTCGTTTGGGATTGACATTGAATGTTTATTTGGGTCGACAGCTTACATCGATTTCTCCAAACTGGTGACAAGTGACCATCCTGGAGGATTGTTCTGTTGTCTGTATGAGATGTATAAATACGCAGTCACGTCCAGTCTGAAAGGGAGCGTTAAACAAATGCCTAGTATATGCATTTATGTACTAAGCATAATGTTACGCTTTTTGAGCGGTAAAGAATTCTTGCAACCTGTTTTTGAGGGTTTCTGCAGGTGGCCTGTTGCAATGCCAAATTTCTGTCCTTAATAAACATACCCTCTTTTCACAGTGTCAGTTTAAAGTTTCCGTTCGTCATCCCTGACGAATCTCTTTACAAAACCTATCTGTTGTATTCATTGTTTAATTGTCCTCGTCATAGTCTATTGTTGTTAAACAAACAGCAATCAATCAATCATAAAATATAGATTCAAATATTGTTTGATATATTGCTTAGTTCATTCATTTTAAAGTTTCATATACTTACAATTCAAGCGATATCCCCCTTCCGTTTTATATGGAAAAAGAAATCAGTATTAATTTTAACTTGTGGGGAGTTTTTAAAACAGATTATTTTCAAGACTAGTTCTGGGTCGATATCGCTGCTAATAGAATGCTTGCTCCCGTGACTTTCATCGGCTCAGTAGTCAGTGCTATGCTATTGACATGTTTTAAAACGTTCTTTTACTAAATTCTTCGTTGATCAATTTAGGAATTATTTTGAAACTGAGGTTCAAACTCCCTAAGGATTTTTTTTTAACTTAGATGGAGTTGGGTATTCATTCACGGTCACTTTTGGTCATATAGCTACTGTTTTGTTTGGTTTTCATTTTTTTGGCTTTTAACGTCCCTGGTGAAAGTAGATAAAGACAAGCGCTATGGACGCACGAAACTTATTAGAGTTATTTTTATTTACAAACACTGGGTAGATACCGCTGCTGTATAAATGCTTGTTCGGCTCTGTAGTCAGTGCTTCGCTACTGACATAATTTAAATCATTCTTTTCAATTCTCCGTTGATAAATTTAGGAATTTTTCATATAATAAGATTCCAACTCCCTCAGACAAAGTTGACATTCGAGATGGATTTTGTTAATCATTTACTAGTACTGGGTCGATACCGCTGCTGTTGGAATGCTTGTTCCTGTGTCTATCATCGGCTCAGTATACGTAGTCAGTGCTTCGTTACTGACATGATTTAAAACTGTCCCGATGGGGGTAAATCCAGAAGAGCTCTTTGGACGCACGGAATTTATAACGCGTTATTTCCATTTAGAAAAGTGACACACCATAATTTTCTACCTAACATATGGGTGATGGTACTTGATTTAAATTGGATTATCTCTCGTTTACCAGAAAATATCTTAACTAAAAAATAAACTATAAGTAAAACATTATCCACACATATATATGTCTGATAGGGTCGATACTTAAAATAAAAAAAATCTTATGTTTTCATTCGTCAAAGATTCAAAAGAACATAACGGATTTATTAACTTAGAGCGAAACCTGTTTTCACGTGGTGGTAAAAAAAAGTAAACAACACTTGTATTGAGGAACAGCTAACCAAGAATTGAATACATACAATATTGTGTGTTGTGTTGACAAGAAATATCATTTTTATGTTCAGTTTCTGTAAATTAACTGTTTATAAAATGTTGAATTATTCGAATTACTAAATAAAGGTTTTCTTCTTCCATTTGGCACAACTTTTCGGAATGTTCGGTTTTTAATGCTCTTCAAATTCGTATTTGATTTGGCCGTCCAATATGGAACGTCACAGCTGTCTTATGTGGTACTCTGATATTACGTTATGTTGTTTTATTATAACTTGATGATATTTGTCTTTTCATAATATGGTAATGATTTTTTGATATAACTCAATATGGAATAGTCATTAGGTAATGATATTTCGATTTTACTTGATATGGTTTCGTATTGACTTGATATGGTTTTTTCATTATTTATTATGGTTTTGTCATAACTCGATGTGATTTCATCATTATGTAATATGCTTGTGTCATTAGGCAATGTGGTTTTAACATTACTTGATGTGTATGTGGCTTAACGTAATGTATTTGTTTCATTACATGATGTCGTTTTGTTATTTCGTAATTGATTTGTCAATTCTTCATATGGCTTTAACATTACATAATGATGGTTCAAAATTTGACGATTTTACACAACATGATGTGTTTGTTCCTGTATTTGATGTGGTCCTGTCATTCTTTGATGTAGTTATCATATTACTTGATGAGGTAAAGCCACGTGACCATTTTGGAAAAAAATAGTTCTATTTTTAGCCCGATTTCCATAATGTGCTTCGGATGAGTGTCGCTATCCATTGAGTTAAAGTTCAAATTAAAGTTTGAGTTGTTGTGCAGAGTTATTTGGTATGAAAAAGGGGAACGGCAGACAAAAATAAGAAAAAGTACAAAAAAAATATCAATATTTCGGACATAAGGGGGATATCTCAAAACCACTTGGTCCTGCCGTTTTTTTCCCCTTAGTTCTCAAATGGAAGCAGTATTACAATAAATTCGTGAAGAATTCCATGGAACCCTGTGTCTCGCCTGAGATTGCTGCTGTCATTGTAAAAGTGTAATGTTGACTGTAAAACATCCATTTATCGGTAAAAAACTAAATTAAAAAAATTGTTTTTCTGTACATGCTTTATCTCGATATAGAAGATTAACTCCTATAAAAGTTTTATAACAATTCATGGAGGTTTAAAAATTCATCATGACAAAATACTTTAAATTGGTAATATTTAATGCAAATAAAACTTTAAAATTATATAAAAATAAGAAGATGTGGTATGATTGCCAATGAGACAACTCTCCACCATATACCAAATGACGTAGCAGTTAACAACTATATGTCACTGTATGGTCTTCAACAATGAGCAAAACTCATTCCGCATAGTAAGATATAACCGGTCCAGAAATGACAAATGTAAAAACAATTCAAACGAGTAACATAACAGTCTAAATGATGAAGACGCCGACGACGGAATATAGGTTTGTTGTGTCTCACTTTCGCGACATTAATATCGCAGGCTGGACACACATCAAATGACTTGTACTTTATTATCAACAAATGAGAAACTTTAAATCAACTCACACTAAAGTTACAGGGAAATGGGAGGATCGGACTAAGCGACAAAGCATCAATTCTATAAAATAAGAATTCTCAGATTTTTTTTAGCGTGTATTATCATTTGAACATATACGAATATCAATCTTTTAATATATATTTTTATAAATTCCATTCTCTGATATACCTCGCACTAAATTGGAAAAAAAAACCTTTTTGGAATATCTGTTTCACAGGTGACGATGGATATGTTCCAGTTGTCGTAACCACAATCCCGTCCTCTTTTCCTCGAATGTGACTTAACGAATTAGACCAAATCACTGGGTTTGTACTTTCACGAATAACACGACGGGTGCCACACGTTGAACAGGATCTGCTTACTTTTCCGGAGCACCCGAGATCACCCCAGGATTTTGATGGATTTATATTGCCCAGTCATACCGATCTATAGAGTTAAGCCAATCGCATCTGATTTTTATACGCCCGTTTACGGGACGTATTATGGTATACCGTTGTCCGTCCGTCCGTCTGTCCGTCCGTCGTTAACATGTCGGACAATAACTCAAAAACGCTTTAACCAATTTGCATGAAACTTCGGTGAAGTGTTTATATCTATTGACATGAGCTCCCTTTCGTTTTTTATAAATTTTAGATTTTACGTTTCCGAGTTATGGGGTTTCATTCATTAAAAAAAGGGGGATCTTCCCCTTTTCGGACAATAACTCAAAAATACTTTCAGCAGCTTTCA